GGCTGCGTCATGCATGAACTGCCTGCGGCATCAAGAGGAAGAGTCACCGTACACGAAGAAGGAAGATCGCAGATCTGAGTGGCTCACCGTTGAAAGTATGAAGAGGAAGAACCACTGCACACGAAGAAGGAGGAACGGTGATCTGCCTGGCCCACTGTTGAAAGTATTAGGAGAAAGAATACCGCACAAGAAAAGGGAGGATTTTGTTGTGACATTCGCTCAGGCAACAGGAGGAGCCCACCCCTCCGACTCAATACCATTCGCAGTTTCGAGATTCTGGTATGCTTCCAGAACACGTATTTCCACCAACATTATAAAATAGTTCATTCGGCGCCGATTGTCATCACTCTGTAGTGCGCCATACATATGGCCCCCATTCGGAGGTGTTGGGAACGTGTAGCATTTAGATAAGGCTTCCTCCGTACAGCATATGCGCTCCTGCAATCAGGAAGTTCCGAGCGTATACTTTCGTCTGTTTATTAATCCATGGCGTTATTGTGGGCGGCCATCGTACTTCCGTGTTCTTCACATGGAGAACAATGAATAAACCTTCTACCATCCAAGCTGTACAACATCTGAGTATCGCTGCTCACTCCACTTCAGCAAGGCCGTGCGCTGGCGACATCCCTCCCTCGCTCGCGGTCAAAGACCTCCCCTTTGTTGATTACTCACAACGACGGCCTACCCTTCAACGAACTCCACCAATTTTGGAACGAAACTCCTCCACGCTATCTGTTAGGCCAGTCGATCGCTGACCACACATGCTGCTCCATTCGTGGAAGAAACCAGTTCGAAAAACCAGTCAGTGCAAGCACGTGACATGATAGACCTCATTGCGACTCTCACCTTTTTTATAATAACCCCTTCACAAGGACCCTCCACTCAGCAACTGATCAAAGTTGCAAGGAAACGATGAATTTCCATAGAATTCGTTTTCGTATTGGTACTTTCAGAGGCGTTCAAGAAAAATGGATCTCGGTTTTTTAATACAAGCACATGTCCCTATTCCATGCAAAAAACCGTTTTTTCGAAGCGTCGCGTCCTAAGTGACTCTCCCCTCCCCCTCTTGAAGATCGTACCGCTTTAGAGCGAGAAGAGTGCTACAGCTGGAACGTTCTAGTTTCAACACCCGCTCAGTTGTACCGCCCATCCAGCAAATTTTACTCTTCATATCAACGCAGGAGCACTCAGTTATTGTTTGTTGGAGCGGCGAGCACAAATCCACACTGCGTGCCCATTTTTGGGACTGCACTCGTGATCGTAACTAATTCTGTTCTCCATTACCCCTCTTTCATTAAGAGCGCATACAGTCAACAGGAATCCATCTCGCAAGGTAGGATCCGTCAAAATCACCACTGATGCAACTGGTTGGTGCAAAAGCTCGACGTGCATTGCTTACCGTAGTCTTAATTTCGTACGCAGAGTTTACAAAAGTCACTTTTTGTTATGATTTTGCTCCAGTGCTTTTGTTGCTATTCGTTTACTTTCCTTACATTGGGAGGCGTTTAGTACTTGTATAGATGCGATATGCGGCTTGTTGTTCTTTGTGCACTAGGGGTTGCACAAAGACCGCAGGGCGTCGACTCGACAACAAGTTCGAAGAATTCATATAATGAGGCTAGGTGACTCGAAGGGATTTTGATCAAGGTGTTCTTGGAAATTCTTCTTCTTTTCTCTTCTTTGAGGAATCACTTGTCAGCCACTCGTTCAACATTGAACACCCCAATATCATGTACTTGATCGCGGAAATTGTCTTTATATGCACGGGGGATGGTTTCGCTCTACATGCATATGTACGCTTAACCCTCAGCTTTTCGACGTGACAGTGTTTCTATTTTTGAACATGTAATGAGATACTCTAAATCCTCCGCTCGAACAAATCTACTGAAAGACTGAGTGTATCGTTAGATAGAGTGCGTGAGGATGCCGTTTATTACCGAAAACGTTTTTTTGAAGAGGGCGTCGGCCCAAACTGTTACCGCGGATTTTATATCCACTTCGATGGCACACCTTACGCCTAAATCATGCTCTTCTTAGATACACTGATAATTATAGCTTCAGAGACTTCGACTGAAATTTTTTATAGAACCAAACAAATTATTATCGAAGTGTGCAATTGGCTGCAGAGTCATATTCTTGGAAAGCCTCAGGTGATTGCAGACTGGACCTTCAATGTTGTTACGAATGTGGCCGACGGCTTAAGCGACTACACGTTGTTGTTAAATGAATGGCATCTATTCCGTCGCAAGTGAAGCAAAAAACCAGGACAGGTAGCGTATTGTACGTCTGTCCTGAAATCTTACCAGTCTCTGACTGAATGTCAGCCGGGCCGTGCGACGGTAATGGATTGTGTTGGCTCTCATGAAATAATGTCGTTGTTGCCTGAAACATGGTGGAAAGGACACAGATTCTTCGAGAGAGACAGAGTCAGGCGGAACCTCACTCACTGGTATCTCTGGTGCTTTTTCTATGTTGTCCTCCACAAGGATAGCATCGATCTTCTTAAAAACTTATTCTCTATGATATCCATTAATAATTGTGAAATAGAATCTAAGTTTACGCGGGACTGAGATTGGCTCGGAGGGTTGCTATCAAAAACTGCCACACCCGTGCTCATTGCTTTCTGAACCAAAATTTTCGCTCTCTCATAAACAGTTTGGTCGTCCTTTTCGCCAGGTATCTGAAAGTTTCTAGTTGTGATTCTGAGTCTTGTGGAATGGATAGATAGGATAGATTCGAAAATACGTACCAAGTGTAGCAAGCGCTGGTCATCAAAGTATTTTGCCGACGGTAACGTTTTCTGCTTAAATTCCTGGAATGGAACACCATGGGATAGAATAATTACTCATTGCAAGAGTTGAAAATGGAAGTAAAATCGTGCGCTGATTCACATGGGAAGGCGGGTGTGTAAATACTGTGAAATTTGAAGCTACCTCATTATACTAGTTTTATTTTGCTTACCAAAGTTACATGGTGTCGTTACCCACAAGGACGTTCTCCATCGCTAAAGTAATCTGCCACTGACTAGAAAAGAACCGAACTGTTCATCGGATATTGATGCTACTTCTACTCAACCTGGAAAGGTGAGCTCGTAGAGCGACAACAAGTGTAGTTCTTGTCAAGCCATAGCATGTGAAAATTCGCGAAATATCCTAGAGAAGATGAACTACGGCGCGGAGGAAAATCACGGTTCAGGTGAAATTCTGGTCACGAATTGCGGAATCCCCGGTACCTCCTTCAGCACAAAGAAGTTGGTTTGCAAATTCCAAAGCTCCTTTCTCTCTAGACTTGAGGAAGAACCCTCATTCTAAAATTCGCTCCCCAGAAGCATCCAACATAAATGCTTTTCAACCTATAAAACCGCCACAAGCCGATTCTGATATCTTACCTCGAGCGACACTCACCTGCTCGAACGAAGATATGAAAGGTAACATTACATTTCACATTTTGCCAAAATGGTTCTCTAATACGTTGCCCGTGTAAAAAGTTATATTGATTTGAAATTGAGTGAAATCGGAAGAAACACTGTATACTGAGAGGGGAGGGGCGTAATGGAGGGGAAAGTCAACACCAAACAGCATAAAGGTGCCATAGTCCTACAAAAGAACCAAAGTGGTTAACTAACAGTATCAATAGGTTGATATGAGTTTGAAAGTACGTAGTGTCAGTACACTTGAACAAGTTCAAGGGTAGACCGCGGACCTTTCGGAACGCTATGAAACCATCTGCTTGCGTGGACAGACATCACGTAGAAGTTCTGCCATCCCACCACCTCTGCGTAGGAGCCTCATGCATGGCCTAATGGGTGCTAAATCGACCACTGACTGCTTCTGTTCCGTTCTGGGTGCGCTCTGTTCAAATACGCTTATTTGAAACCAGCCGGCTTCGCCGGCTGACACCGGCGCGCCTCCTTCTGAGATACAGCACGGCTTCGTCGAGCAGGCGCGGCTCCGCCGCGCTTGCCTTATTCCACTCATTTCATTAGCCACCTAATATCAGGCTTTTCTTTAACCTGAACAGGTGGTCAACATTCCTTGACCAATAGCATCATACCTGCTACTTTCAACACTATTACAGTGAATGGAGTGGTGGCACGGAGCGTTGATGAAGTGGGCAGATGAGAGAAAAGCCGGGTATTAGTCGAGCATTTGATCATACGAATGCAGGTAAGCGCGACGCCCCGCAAAGCCGGGCCGTATCACATAGAGGTCTGGAGTGCTCTGGAACCGCTTGAGGAGTTTTTAAGGCTGGTCCCGCTCACCTTGACGCACGCTCCACACACGACAGGTATGCCTGACACTTGTGAACCGGTGACCCCTCGCTGATCTTAAACTACTTCTTCCCAGTGTCTGGAGTGCTCTGGAAGGAATTTTTTAAATTTGGCTCCACCCACCTCGGGGCACGCCCCGCCCACAATGTATGCCTCGCGCTTCTCAACTAATAACCCCTCGCTGATCTTAAACTACTTTTTCCCGAATCTGGAGTGCTCTGGAACCGTTTTGCGAATTTTTAAATTTGGCTCCACCCACCTCTGGGCACGCCCCGCCCACAATGTATGCCTCGCGCTTCTCAACCAATGACCCCTCGATGACCTTAAACTACTTTTCCCCG